AAAATGTCTGAGTCAGAGTAGCACTAGAAATCCTCCACAAAAAACACCAGTGGGTTTTCACTTCCAGTTACTGTTCAACTTTTCTGCCCACAAAAAGCTGCAGTGGGTTTTCCTGTGCGGCTCTGGAAGCACACAATGACTGCTCAGGTCTGGCTGGTCAGTGCTTGGGAAATATTCCAGTTCCTCCAGAAACTGAAGAAACAGCACCTCTGACTAACTGCGTCACACTAAGGGCAGGAGAATCAACCCCAGGCAGGAGAATCAACCTGTTTCCAAAGACTCTGTGATGCCCAACTGCTGGAAGACCCAGTGCAAATCACTGTCACTGCGCCAACAGCTGGACACTGTCAGCCCTGTTTCCAGTCCCCTCCCAGGGCGGGGGAGCTTCAGTACCTGGTGACGTAGAGGACAACGTCAGCATGCTGGGGGTCAGAGTCATTCTGGGGGTTGACCTTCTTGCTCCACTCACAAACGCTGATCAGCGAGGAGGTGATATTTGTTGTGATGTTTACCTCTGCCTAGAGCGAAGGCACATGTCTGCACATTTCATACAGCTTTTAGCAACCCCTTTTAGCAACCACCACGTGAACATGGTCCTCCCTGCTTACCTCCGGTTGTCTCAAAACAAGCATTTGCATAAGATGAACCCTGAAATGAGCACCCAGTGAGGCATCTCTCAGCAGCTCTGCCCCCTGTTAAGAGATAGAAAGGATTCGATAAAGAAGGCACCTCGGTGACTCCCACTACCTGTTCCAAATAACAGGGCTGCATTCACTACAAAGGTAACATACCTGGTAACCATAAGGGGCAACTACAAAGTCACCGGGAAGCACAACATTAAAGCATGCACTACAAATGTAAATAAATCTGTCAACAGATGAGAACTGTTGTTAGACTTGTCAGATACTCTGAAGCAGAAAGAAAAAATCTGCAAGGAAAACAGTTTCATAGGGTAGGAGAGTGAATGCTAAAGACTTTTTTGCAATATACACACACAGAAAATGCACAAACGAATTCTTAATAATAGCAAAGGGAGACATTTAGAGAAATCCTGTAACAGAAATAAAACGTTGAAATGTAAAATGTAAGATTAATTCAGTGGATCTTGTTCAATCTTACTGAAAGCAACAGGGACCGGATCAAGGCTCTGGTGGTAAAACTCTTGCTACTGTATCTGACATACAACAATATTAGTAATGAAATGAAGAGCTACATTTTCTACATGGGCTTTAAGGCTACAACCCCAAAGCTTCTAACACCCACTTTTCCTCGTGCAGCTCCTTGTACAAGGGGAAGCTTGCCATGTGGCGCCAAGGGAAGCAGAGAGGAACACCCTGCACATAAGCAGTGCTCTGTACTAGGAGCAGGTAACCACAAACACCTCTGAAAGTGCACTCGCAGAGGTCTGTCTGCCTGTGACACGGCCTGTGACGCTGTGAGCTCTCACACTGGGACGGCAATCCAAACGGAAAGCTACTCACAATGTTCAGGTTGGCAAGAATATATCGCTCCGTGTCCTCTTTGTGGTACAAGTAAACGTCTGGACCTGCTACGACCATCAGCTCCAGATGTTTGACAGCTCCCTCAGCCCTCTTCTGCAGGCGAGAAGGAAACCGCCCTGCCGAGCAGCACAAAGGGACACAGGGAGTTTAAAATGCAAGACAACATAAAAGGTCCCACAGATCCACTCCTTCTTCCTGAAAGACTAGAATAATCCAGCTGGAAGACCACTCCTCCAGTTGCTTGCTCAGGTTTCCCGCTTCTGTTGGTTTCTTTCACTTGCCAGCATCCTTAATAACATGCTTATGCTATCAAAATAACAAATACCTAAATGAAAAAACACCAGTTACACCTCAGTGAGGTGAGAAACGTCTATCAAGTACACTCATATATTTGTAAATACAGATTTTTCCTCTGATCTCATGCAAGCAACCCCACTACCAGGAGACAGCTTTTCCAAGCAGAACCAGCAGGGCTTCCTCTCCGTGTACGTTACCTCTTGCTGTATTTTCCCCTCTTGCGGCAGTTCTGAAGAGAATGTGGGGTCTGGAGAAGCCAAGGTCCTTCAGCAGGGCCATATCTTTGCTTCTGACAGGCCTGATATGAATCTTTTCCTCATCTGCAATGACGACTCCTTGCTAAAGGAGATGAAATTCCATCTCTGAGTTATTCCGAAGACATTTGCTATCAGTGAAGAACTGTGTGCCATATCCTTCCTGTTTCTCCTTTGTAATGCTCAGATTTATTAAATGGATGGTTCACACATTTGGTGCATCAAGCTGCAAACCTACAAAGGCTGTAAACGCTTGCAAGAATAAATTCAGTGCATACTCACCAGCTGCCCTTCACAGTAAGTGACTCGACACTTCGCCCCGGGAGGTTGCAGTGGATTTCCACCTGCAAAGCAGTTGCCTGAGAATCGCTTCAGTAAGCTAAAGGAAGAGTTCACCACTTGATTGCTCACAAAGGAAGAGGAAAGGAGGGCATGGTCCTCTAGAAATTCAAAGGCATAGAGTTCTCCCCAGGCCTCAATGGAGCAGTGTTGAATACGACAGGACATCAGCCCAATCTGTTGTTCTTTACAAGGGCAGGTTGGCTCAGCAACCACAAACTCAGGTACTGAAAGAAATGAAACAAGACCAGAACAAGGGGAACAGTTACGAGAAACAATGATACACAGAAAACAAATGTAATGATCCATCTCCCCAGGAAAAAACACTCTCCAAACGACAACTGTGGCCTTTCAGGGTCATTGTGTCAACAGTCAAAGAACTTCTATGCTTTCATGTATTCCAAAGTGAGGATAATCTGACTGGGAGCAGACAACAGCTCTGAAACCGGCTCCCAATTTATCGGCGCTTTTCCTCTTTCGATGAGGAGAACAGTTCATTTAACAAAGGCTGAGACAGTTTTGCTTCCTCAGATGTTAAGTATTACCGAGTGAGAATTATCATAATCCAGACAGACACTGGGATGAGCACTAGGTGAACTCACAAGTAGGCAACATCCTTGCTTTAAGGATTTGAGAGTTTAAAACGTATCTTTATTCTGAACTACGATCAATCCAGACCCAGAATACTAGTCTCTCCAGGTGTTTGTTTAAAAAAGATTATCAAGTGCATTTAAAGCTATTCTTAGTCTAAAGCTTCACACTCAGAAGACCTGGATCTGTTAATCTCATAGAAAAATACCCATACAGGGAATGAGGACCGCAGGAGAAACGTGCAAAAAGATTTATCATCTCTCCTTCAGCAGATTTTAAATACTGACCCTGTGCTTCAACCGCTTTCACACTGAAACATGGATTGCCTCACTGAGTAATGTGACTCAGAAATGCTAAATGCTTGTCAGATCAGGGTTCATTAATAAGCGTTCTTAGCATTATCAAACGTACAGGATTAGAAATAAACCGACAGACGTGTTCCAAAATCAAGAAGGAAGGAGCCCTGCATACCATCAGACACTGAGCTGGTTCCAAAATAAGAGAAAACGTCTTCCGCATCCAAAGCGCCGAGAAATTTCTGCAAGAAGAAGAATAGCTTTACTTTTTTTTTTTTTTTAAGAAAAACAAATGGATACAAGACTATCGCTTAACTGAACCTAACCTGGAAGGAACGCCAGTGAACGACTCAACAAGTACCGATGCCAAGTTCTCATGGCTTTATTTTGCACTAAGCATGGGCTGCACAACAGCCACCCAGAGGGAACAGCTTTATCTTCTTGATTAGTGAGGTTCGATGGATTTTGGCTCGGCGCACGTTGTGTTGTCTCTCCTTTTTTTTTTTTTTTT